TATGCAATTTTAATCATTACTTGTGCTATAATTCATCCTTAAAATTTTTTAAAAATTTGACAAAAAAATTGTTGCCCAGATACTTTTGGCAGGTTGGTGTATATAAAAAAATTATTATAATATTTTTCAGTAGTTTTATTAGTAGATAAAAAAAAAATTTATAATTTTTTTATTAAAAAATTAGATATTTACACCTCCAAAAATCTAACACTGCCTCAATATAAAGTATAAAAAATAAATATTTTTTTTTAATCAGACATTGTTCCAATATTTAAAAATTGTTGTCATGTATTTTTTAATATAAAAAAGTTAACAGATGATATTTTTAATAAATGTGACATCTGACATTTTGAATTTTTTGTATAATAAAGTAATTTACTGTAAATCATAGGTAAATTGAGACTTAAGTTATTCAAATTAATATATTATTAAGAAAGAGAGAAAAAGAAAGAGAGAAAAAGAAAGAAAGAAAAAGAAAGAAAAAAAAGAAAGAAAAAGTGAGTAGAACCAATAAGTTTGAATAGAAATATTAAAGGATATTTCCAAAGTTCAATAGAAGTAATTGTCATTACCAGGTAAAATTATATATTATATAATTTCCTGATTAACTTTTAATTTTGCTCAGTGGTGACAATTACCACTAGTGAGCTTTAACAATTTTCTATATATTATAATTACAATATAATATAATTATTTATTTAAAAAAATGTTATATAACTAATAAATAAATAAATATGTAATAACCAATTTAATTCTTATTTTTACTATTATTTGTTATTAACAATATTATCCAATTCACCAGTAAAATTTAATTCTTTAATAATATCCAATCCACCAATTAATTCACCATTATTAAACACCATAGGATAAGTAGGCCATTTGATAAATATTTTTAATCCTATAAAAATGAATTATATTAAATTATATTAAATTATATTAAATTATTATAATTATATCATTATTATCATTATCAATTATTATTACCTTCTCTAATATCATAATCTTTCAATATATCAAAATACTCATATTTAGCCTTTTTTTCATCAAGAATATTAATCAATTGTCTATATATAATTTTTAAAATAATTTTAAATAATAAATAATTAATATAATAATAAATAATTAATATAATAATTATAATAATTCTATTTACTTTGAAAATCCACATTTAGGATCTTTTGGTGTCCCTTTTATAAAAATCATCAATTTTGATTTCGTAATTAATTCTTGAATTCTTTCATTAAGATCCTTTTCTTTGGGAATAATATTTTTAAATTCTCCATTTTCAACTAATTCTTTAACAATATCTAATCCACCAATTAATTCTCCTTTGACATAAAGCTACATTATAATTATAAATGTTATATACTGTAATGATTAAATATTAATTAATATAAATAATTCACTTAAAAATAAAAAATAAATTAATATATTACTTGTGGATATGTAGGCCAATTGGAATATGTCTTCAAGCCTATATTATTATGATTTATTATTATTATTAATTAGAAATTAAATATAATTAAATAAATTATTAAATTATATAAATTATTAAATCTATTATAAATATTATAAATGAATAAATATTATTACCTTCCCTAACTTCAATATCAGCTAAAATATTAAATGAACTAAATTTAGCTTGATTATCATTAAGAATTTCTATAAGTTGTCGAGAGAATCCACAACGTGGTTGACTTGGTGTACCCTTGAATATTATATATATATATATATATATTTATTTATTTATTTATTAATTATTCATTGTAATTTTTATTTTTATTTTTATTTTTATTTATTTTCTATTTCTATCTCTATTTAATTTATCATCAATTCATATATAATTTCTATATACCTTAATAAATGCCATAACTGGATTAGAATTAATTAATTCTTTAAGTCGAGTATTTAAATCGATTTTTGAAGTTGTTGATGCTTTTGATAAATCAGGTTGAGTTTTTATTCCTATAGAAAGTGATGTGCCTTTAGCATGTTTTTCTACTGTGCTAGTAAGTTCAGGTGCATTCGCTCCATCAATTCGATCCGCAATTTTTCCGTTCTGTTCTCATACAATTAATTTCAATGTAAATGTAAATGTCGTATAGGTATAAGTAATAACGTAAATGTAATAAAATTAATAAAATTCAAAAAGTAATAATTACCTTAAGAACAATGAATGTTGGAACAGCTGCAATATTGAAAGATTCGGAAAGATCCGCAAATTTCTCGGCTTCAATCTTTTAATTTTAATTATCAAAATAATTAATTTATATTAATTTATATTCTAAAAATTGTTCTCTTTTTAAACATTTATTGAATATCTCAAAGCAAACCTTGATAAATTTAAGCGTTGTATGCTTTTTTGCTAATTCTGTAAATACATCATTCATTTGTTTGCATGGTTGAGCCCATTCTGCCCAAAAATCAAGTACTATTACTGTTTTTTTATATTCTTCGGTTAATTTCTTTAAGTCAATTTCTTGAGTAAGTTCTATTAGATTGCTGTCGCTCATGTTTAATTAATAAATAAATAATAAAAAAATACGAATGAATATTTTTACACTCTTAACCTAGGTCACAATTGTATTTATCTACTTTAAAAAATCTAGATCAGGGTTTAGGTTCTCACATGTCGTTATGTTAAATACATGGGTTAAGGTTAGGGTTTTCAGGGGCGGTGTATTTATCACCATGCATCACACCTTTCGAATATCGATTTTATTGGACTTAGAATTTTTTTACAAGCGGAAACCGCAAAGACTTCGTTTTTGATATATCAAATTTTCATGTGACAAAAAGTTATCTTTTTTGACGTATCTATAAATAAAAAATAATCTTGATACATATTTGTCACCCAGAATATATCACATGAATCTTCGGCTAAAGTATCGTTTTTGAGACTTGATATGTTTATAACTGTTTTATTTATAGATGCATCAAAAAAATAACTATTTTGTCACATGAAATTTGATATATCAAAAAAATAACCATAAATATATCACCTTTGCGAATCTTCACATGAAATCACCTGTCAAATTATGAACCAATAAAATTCGAAGGGATCTAAGGATAAAAATCTAAACCCCGGGTTAGGTTAAGATTCCCCAAACATAAATCTATCAAAACGATCTTTTGACTTGTATTTATTAATCACATGATTCAATTTCAATCAAAATTGACTTTTTTGATTATTAACCAATAAAGGGAAAAAAAGAATATAATGATTTCGTTATTTATTCGTGATTCAAAAATAATCATCTAAGAGCAAAGACTCAATATGATCTTATATAATGTAAACCTACTCTACTCTTTATTCTATATCTTCCTTTTATTTCTTTTTTGTTTGTACAAATTGTTAAACCAGCACAACCTCACTCCAAAAAAATAAAATCAGGTTCAGATTATTTGTTATTGTATATTTAATATTTATAAATTATTATAATCTATTTTGTGAGTAAGATTAAGAAGAAGAAGGAGGAAGAGGAGGATATTTTATTAATTCTTCTACATTTAATCCATCAGAAATTTGAGGAACTATATATAATGCATCAAGCATTTGCATGTTTCTTTATAATATATATAAAATGTTATAATTTTGGATAAATTGTAATAAATAAATTCTGATAAAATATAATAAATAATGATAAGAGTAATAATAAAATACCTTTCCCGAAGTTGTGTAACTCCCGCTGTCAACTTTTCTAAAGACTATTAATTATTAAATTATATTATTATTTAATTTGTTAATTATTTATTTTATTTAATTTATTAATTGTTGATTAATTATTTAAATATTTAATTAATATTTTACCTGCTGCGTAGATTTCATCGATACATCAATATTTGCAAAAAGTTTAGCAGTTCTCATCACTTCCTTAAGTATTAAAATATATATATCGGAATTAGGTATATATATATATATATATACACTATATACATTAGGAGACTTACTTCACTAACGTTGGAATTTCTAATAACCGTCTAAAAAAAAGTGTAAACTTTTTACATAAAATAATCAAATAGATAAAATATATACTATTAAATGCTGTGTACCTTTACTATACCGCGTACACCTAAAAATGCATTTTGAGATTTTTCGTTAAGTTCTGGTTTCATGGTTTCATGACAGCCTAACCGTTAAAAAAAACCACCACCAACTAAATAATTAAGTCACGAGTATGTAACATAAGTGATTTGATTACTTAATCAAGAAATATTGTTTAAAAGAAATATTGTATCATTCATATTCAATAAAATTATAAGACTTCAACACACGAAAATACACGAAAATGACAGCACCACAAAATCCTATTACTAGAGCCATTTGGGATGGCGCATTACCAATCAAGTTATCCCTTGATACTACAGAGGCAGCAGCATTAGGTGCAAAAACTATAATAGAACCATATTTTGTGAGTTATTAAATTTGCCTTTCTTACACTTGTTTTTTGGACATTATATTTTATTATACCCAATTTGACTACTCGTATAAAAAGTTAGAATTCCTGTAACTTTAACGAATTTTCACTCGTGTGTGACAGATAGAAGCTCCACGCTGTTCATACTTTCCATTATTAACAAGTCAGTTAAGAAAATATTTCGGGGATATGATGTTGAATTTCATTGGAGACGACGCAGAAATATGGTATGATGTTGACGGGACTCCATTAAAGTGGTAATTATTATTATTATTATTATTATTATTATTTTAATTAATATTATTAATATTTTCAATTAATTATTAATTATGATTAATTGATTAATTACAATTAAATTTTAATTAAATGCGTAAATTGGAAATTATTGAAATTAAAGGCATTATCCTATAGGATTATTATACGATTTACATACAGGATATCGTCCAGATTCTAATAGTCCACCACCTTTACCTTGGCCAGTAACTGTACATTTTAAAGATTTTCCAGCTGATAAATTAATACGAGCACAAGCGATTGATGCAACACAAGATTTTTTCATGTCTATGATTAAAGAAGTAATTAATTCTTTAATATTTAATTATTTATTTATTTATAATTTCTTTATTATTTATTGTTAATAATAATTAATAATTTTTGTTATTAAGGCCGATTTCCTTAGGAATGGAAGTACAAAAAAAGTAATGAATTTATCAAAGAATGATCAAACACAATTATGGGATGGATTATGGTCCAGTATCCTTACTTTTTATATATAACCAATTAAATAATTAAATAATTAAATAATTAAATAATTAAATAATTAAATAATTAAATAATTAAATAATTAAATAATTAAATTATTAAATAATTAAATAATTAAATAATTAAATAATTAAATTATTAAATAATTAAATAATTAAATAATTAAATAATTAAATAATTAAATATTCATCTGATCATTTTAATAATTTATAATAATTTTTAATAATTATCTTTAACTAAATTTTAATTTGATAAAAAAATATATATATATTACAGAGAATTATGATCGATTTTGGAGTGTAAATTATCGTTTAGTTATGAACGATGGACAAATGCCAAGACATATTCCATTAAGAATATATTTACCTGATAATTGTCCAGTATTACAAGAACCTGTATCGCCATTAGATGATAATAATGGTATTTTTAATTTGTTATGTTATTTATTATTTCAATTATTTCAATTATTGTTTTTATAATTATATTAATATCCACAATATTCACAATATCCACAATATTCACAATATCCACAATATCCACAATATCCACAATATCCACAATATCCACAATATCCACTATATCCACAATATCCACTATATTCACTATATTCGCTATATTCACTACAGGAAATCCATTAACATTAGGAGATGTATTACATCAAATCCTTCCAGAATTATTTCCATCTTCTTTACCTAGTGAAAATTCTTTTGCTGCTCCAGTAATTCATGGTGTTATTCCACAATTAGATATGCCAATAGTGTGGGCATCACAAAATCTTTGTTATCCTGATAATTTCTTACATATCGTTGTTCTTCTGGGGATATGATAAAATGATAATAATAATAATGATGATGATAATAATAATAAAACAAATGTAAACAGTAATTTCTTTTTCTTTATTTTTATTATTTTATTTATCTAACGTTTAATAATACATTTAGTAACACATATTTTTATTTATACTTGAAAATTAGTAATAATAATAATAATAATAATATACATATATTAATATATTGTGATATATTTATTCCTCAATGATGATGTGTGTGATGAATAGAAAATATTATTATTAGATTCCATTTTATTTCTTGTTTTTAATTCCCCTTTTTTTTTACTTACAATTCCTGCTTCCCAATATTTTTAATTCAAAACCCGAGAATATATTTAACATATTGTAGCATAAGTTGAGACTGCAAATATTTTCTCTTTTGTAATCATGTAATTGCAATAAATTAATATAATTATAATAATGTACAATATATTTAAAATTTACATTTCAATTCATTCTCTACGATATTTATGTTATTAGAATTGCTGTAATTTATAAAATGATTTAATACTGGACATGTATAGAAGAGTACAGAAGAGTCCTAACGTGTATGTTCTCGTCTTTTCATATTTATCCCTTAAACCGTATATTTTAGCGGGTAAATTTGCCCGTTAAAACAATTGGAGAAAATCTAGTCGCATAAAAAATTGTTCATAAAAAGTCTAACTTAAATTCATTAATGTGCTACGATATAAATTGTGATGTTACCATGTGACTTGACCTCCCGAGATCAGGGACATGTAAAAATTATTTGGATTATTTCAAATATTTATTTGAAAAATTGCAAATATTTGAATAAATTTGGATAAAATTTTACTAATAAATTTTCTTTTTTTAATGATGGTTTTTATTATTATATTTATTATATTTGACAACTAAAAACCATAAATTTTATTAACCT